AGATAGAGTTCCACTCTTCTTGCCCAGGCTGGAGTGCAATGGCGCGATCTCAGCTCACTGCAACCTCTGCCTTCCAGGTTCAAGCGATTCTCCTGCCTCAGTCTCCCGAGTAGCTGGGATTACAGGCATGCGCCACCATGCCTGGCCAATTTTGTATTTTTTTTTTTGAGACAGAGTTTCACTCTTGTTACCCAGGCTGGAGTGCAATGGCGTGATCTCGGCTCACCGCAACCTCCGCCTCCTGGGTTCAGGCAATTCTCCTGTCTCAACCTCCTGAGTAGCTGGGATTACAGGCATGCGCCACCATGCCCAGCTAATGTTTTTTGAATTTTTAGTAGAGACGGGGTTTCACCATATTGACCAGGATGGTCTCGATCTCTTGACCTCGTGATCCACCCGCCTCAGCCTCCCAAAGTGCTGGGATTACAGGCTTAAGCCACCGCGCCCGGCTAATTTTGTATTTTTAGTAAAGACAGGGTTTCTCCATGTTGGTCAGGCTGGTCTCGAACTCCTGACCTTAGGTGATCTGCTCACCTGAGTCTCCCAAAGTGCTGGGATTACAGGCATGAGCCACCACACCCAGCAGCTTTTACATTAAGTTTGTCTGCAGATCCCACAAGGATGTAGGAACAGCAGACTCACAAAGGCTGACTCTGGCAGGCACTGTGCTAAAATTTGCATGGATTAGTCCATTTCATTCTCACAAGGGCCCTAAGAAGTAGGTACTATCAGTTGGCCCCATTTTACAGATAAAGAAACTGAAGCTGGAGAGAAGAGGTGAACTGCCTGGGGTCACACAGCTGGGAGGTGGCCCCAATCTTGAGGCTGGGCTGTTAATTACTCCACTCTTCCATTTCTTTGTGTGACGGGGTCAGGGCAGCTTGTGGGCGAGTGACATCTGCCAGCCTAATAATCCCTTGTAATCAAACCCACACCCTGACATTCAGAGGCCTACAGACGACCGTGACAAACGCCCCCAGTCCAGAGGGCCATGTGAAGACAGTTGCTTCCAAACACCTGTGTCCAATCCACTGTGTGAGACATGCCCATCTGTCTCCTGGGCTGCAGCAGAAACCCCTTCATCACCCACAGCCCCTGCTGCCTCCCATCCCCTTCCCCTGCTGCTGGCCAGGGCCAAGGTTGCAGGTACCTGCTGGGCAGAGGGCTCCTTCGTGTGGGTGTCATCGTTGGTGAGGGTCCAGTAGAAGGAGGCGATGTCCAGGCTGCTGCGTGCACCAGCAAGCAGGCTCAGCCAGGCCTGGCTGGTGGAAGGGTTCCCCATGGAGGCGTTGGGGAAGTCCAGGCCCTCAGGAATGCTTTCCACCAGCACTGCTCTGGGGGGTGGGGAATGCTATCAGCCATAGGGTGCCGGAGGTGACTACTCTGCTGTCCATCCATGGGTGTGTTGAACAGACCGTATTTTTTTTTAGAGACAGAGTCTTGCTCTGTCTCCCAGGCTGGGAGTGCAGTGATGCAATCTCGACCCACTGCAGCCTGGAACTCCTGGGCTCAAGCGATCCTCCCGCCTCAACCTCTTGAGTAGATGGGACTACAGGTGTGTGCCAGTATGCCTGGCTACTCTTTTTTCTTTTGGTAGAGATGGAGTCTCACTACATTGCCTAAGCTGGTCTGGAACTTGGGCTCAAGAATTCCTCCCACTTCAGCCCCCCTCAAAGTGTTGGGATTACAGGCGTGAGCCACTGAGCTTGGCTAAACTGTATTTGAGCTTTTATTTTTTAACTCAATATGTTGAAACACTTCTTTTTAAAAAATTTTTAAAAACTGTGTGTAGTTGAATGTGTGCTTAGACTTATGATTCTCTGTGTGTTTGTGAATGCGTCTGTCTAGAGTTGTGGAAGGAAGGTCGTGTATTTAGGGGTGGGGGTGTGTGTGTGTGTGTGTCCCCACAGATGTGGGTGGAAGATGCTGTGTCTATTCACCGGCCAGATAGGAGATGACGCTGTGGCTGCCATAGAAACTGTGTGTGGAGGAAGAGGGGGGCGGGCAAGCACTTGGGAGTCTGCAACCTCCTCACTTGTGGCAAGTGCTGGGTAGGGCTGAGTGAAGGCCCCGTTTAGTGTGTGCTTAAGTGTCCCTGGTCTGGCAATCCCCTCCCCCTCACCTGCAGCACCTCTGACTTACTCGCAAGGGTCATAGCAGGGGGCTGGGCGCTGGTTGGGCCCAAAGAGATGCAAGTCGCCGTATTCCCATAGAAACAGCTGAGTCATCAGAGCTCCGAAGCCCACAACCGCCAGAATGAGGACCAGCAGGACCCAGCGGGCTTTCTGTGGGGAGGAGGAGGTGGTCAGCCAGCCCGAGCAGGCAGCCCAGCTTGTCCCTGAGACAGAGTGAGGGTGGCAGAGGGCTCCTACCTTTTCTGCAGCCTTCCACGCCTCAATCTCATTCATGGGCAGCTCGCTGGCAGGCTCCTCTACAGGCACCTTTAGCTAGGGGATGGGGACAACAACGGGGGTAACAAGGTGGCTCTTCAAATCCCCGCCCCCACTGCACCCAGCTCCACACTGCAGAGTCCCCAATCCACCTACCTCCTGGTACATCAGTTTAGGCTTCATCTCGCCTTGAGGCTGGGGGGTTCGCAAAGCCCAGGTGAGAAGGTGGGTGTGTCAGGGTCTCCAAACTGGCAGAACAAAAGTGGGCACACTGTGGGGTGTACTATGCTTTCGAGGGACAGACATCACAGAAGGGTGATTAGTCTTGGGGCTATTCATAAGCACGGGGGCCACTGGCACACTGCCCACCACCCCAAAAAGAGGAAGCTGGTCACTGGTCAGCAGGATTTCGAAATCCCTCAAAATCCAACTACTCTGCTGCCTGCTCATCACTCAGCAGTGCCCACCCTGCCCCCAACAGCACCCACGCAGCTCCCCTCTAGCAGCCCCGTTCTCCCTCCTCCAATCTCTAGACACCCACAGAAAGACAGCCCTGGATGAGGTCAGTGGAGTCCCAGGTCTTTGTGCCTGGCTTTTCTCAGCCCTGGGACTATACAGGGGGTATATTCGAGGTGGCTCCTCTGCCCTCGCTCAGGTTACCCCCACACCATACAGCTCAGCCGAGAATCATGAGGACCTCCCTGCCACCCCGGTGCCCATTCCCCCAGCCAGCCTCCCCCCACCTACCCCGAGGGGCCTCGGACGCGCTCGCAAGCGTCTGCTGCTACCTCCGTCGGGCCCCAGCTTCTGCCGGGACAGGCTGAACAGGGGTGGGAGGGGGCGGGGCAAGCGGGAGCTCCGCCCACTGCAGCAGGGAGTCTGCGCAGTGCGCATCTCAGCCCGGGCTCACCGCAGCGAGAAGGGGGGCCCGGTCCCCCAGAGGCGGTCGCTCCAACCTGGCCCTGTTGGGGGGCAGTACATGGCTGGGGGATGGGCTTTGCTACATTCCACCCTAGCGTCCCCGTGTGGGGCAGGGAGGCCACAGGTAAAGAATAAAAGGAACTTCACGTCTTTTCTCGTCTACAAACCTTGTGAATTTTTGTACCTTGGGCATGCATTACCTGGTCAAAAATAAATACATAAATAAAATTAATAAAACGCTTATAAAATGAAACGGAGAGATCAAGGGTGAATAATAGGATGAAAAACTGTAGCGATAAAGTCAACAGAGGGCAGTTTACGGTATGTGATGGGAAGAAAAGGGCAGAGGACATGGTGGATTTTCTGTTGGAGTCTATTTGGATTTCAGTATTTGATTTTTTAAAAACAGCTAACTGACATTTTGATAGGGATTTAAACAAATTTATTTTCCGATCCACCCCATCCCATATCTCCCAAGAGGGATTTAAGGCCCCGGCTGGAGAAATACATTGGAGAACCCTTTCCTCTCTCATCCCTCCTCTCCTCATTAAGAGAGGGTGGTACCTCTCTAAATGAGACAGGGACACTCTCTTCCATCAAGCTCCCCCAAACACACATGGCAGGAAGTCAAGGGATAACTGCAGAAAAGTTTTACTGAGAGAAATAACAGGTCAGAAGTGGTTGCCTTCAAGGGAGAGGGGATTTCAGGGTAGGTCAAGATTGCTTTTTATCATGTCTCTTTTCTTTCTTTTTTTTTTTTTTT